AAAATAAGAATTCTAAATGCACTTGCTTCAAAAAAATATCATGGTATTAATTATATAGGATCCTATATAATCTAAAATAATTTAAACTCACATGGTATTGACGTCTCTAATATTATTTAATTACAAATAAGTTTGTAAGTGATCCACTAATTTCTTGTTTGTTTATCAAACAAAATAAAATTAATTTTGTGATCATTGCTAAATATATTGATAAACTTAACCTAGTGGGTACTAGATTTACATGTGTTGTAGTTATTAACCTACTAATCTTTGAGTTTGAGATGAAAGTACAAAAAAAAATAAAAATAAAAATAAAAACTTTCTCCATTGATCTATAAATTATACATTTTACAAATAATAGCATTTTTCTCTACCAACTAATGTATATTAGATAAATCTTAATAAGATTCAATATGATTGATGTTTATCCTTTGTCAATACCAATGATTGGACGTGGTCATGATGGTGATAATCTATATTTATTAGGAGATCAGTATCCATACCTTGTAACAGTTATAACACATTTATATTTAGCCACATCTACAAGACCAAATATTGTATTTGTAATTAGTTTTCTTACAAGATATATTATATGTTCAATACTACAACATTGAAATGACATCAAACATTTATTATGTTATTTGAATTATATTGAAGACTTAGGATTATATTACATACAATCTGCAAATCCAAAATTGATTAGATATTATGATGCAAGATATAAATTTGATATTACAATAGTTAAATCTTAAACAAGCTATATATTCTTAAGACATGGAACTGCAATATCATGAAAATGAGTGAAACAAACTATAATTAAAATTTCATCCAATCATACAAAAATTATTATCTTACATGAAGCATCTCATGAATGTATTTGGTTGCAATCAATTGATAAACTCATTTAGACAACTTATAGACTTTCACATGATGATTCTCCAACTATCTTATATGAAAATAATAGTACTTGTGTTACATAGATGCAAGTTATTTTCATTAAAGGCAATATGATAAAGCATATTGATCCAAAGTATTTTAGTTATATTTATGACTTGATTACTAATCACGCACTTAAGATTAAAAAAATTGAATCTGCAAATAATCTTATTGATTTCTTCACCAAAGATCTCCCTTTGTGCCACCATTGCCGACTTATTTATGGCATTGGCATGTGGCCACTTATTTTTCTTGAGCAAAAAATTAATAAATTCTTTAAGTAATTACAAAAAAAAAAAATGATGTTGTATTCTTTTTCCTTCATCTATGGTTTTGTCCTTGAACACAATAAGATTTTTCCAAATAAGGTTTTAATGAGGCAACACTTGTTGATCTTGCAAGATTACAAAAAAGTATAGATCATAATTCTATGCAAATTTTATATAATATAAATATTATGACAAGCAAAGAGGCGTGTTGAGAGCATTAAATGTAGCCAACGCTCTCCATAATATTTATTATAATTTACAATAAATATTGTAGCTATAGTGTTTGGAATATAATAGGAAGAAATTGTTTATCTTCTCCCCTTCTCTTTGTATACAAGAGACAACCATATCAATATTGTCTTATTTTTGTGTGTGTGTGTGTGTGTTTGTGTATATTACTTCCAACTAGTCTTATGTCTTTCCAAACATTCTCAACAGCTTGCACAAGTATGACTTAAATTTGAAATAGATTTGTTGCTGTAGCTACAGATTAATTGCAGGCTCATAATAGAACATACATGTGCCTGGATGTGTCTAACAGTTGACAGAGGAAGTCATTGATTAGTTTGTAGTTCATCAGAGACAATGCATATAATTTGACAATTAGGTCTATGTTTCTGCTAAGTTGAGGTGCTTTGAGGTGCTTTGAGATGATGATCTGTCTTGTAAAATTGTCTCACATGCTTTATGTGTTTTGATAAAATATGACCCTTCTCAATGCTGATTCAGTTTCTATACTGAGACTGTGTCACCATTGTGTTATTTTCATTAAAATCAAGGTTCAGGTCAATTTAGGATTATTTCAACAAATTCCTGCACGGTAGAAGGCAATTGGGTACATTATGGCTAAGTTGATTGTGTGGTAATGAGGCACAAACTGGAACACAATGGAAACCAAGAATGTGCTTCCATATGTTCTAAAAATACTCGCTGGTTTTGTAACACTGGACACTGCACATTGTCCTGCCACAATCATAGGCAATCATAAGTGAGTGATTGGTGGGCAGCTGAGGTTGGCTCTTCTCTGATTGTGAAGGATCAAACCTTCTAAAAGAAAGCATTCCTGAACCACAACCATGGCTGAGCCACATCAGCAGGGAGATGGCCAACTCAGGATGAATAAACCATCCTGATGGACTCAAAAGAGAAAAGGGAGTGCCAACCAGCTTCTGCATAAAAAAAGAAATTGCATGATGTGTGTAGCTTGGAAGCATGTGCCAAAATCAGGATGCATAAAGAAATCCAACAATCATAGCCTGTGGTTTTTCTATGCAGCAACTCCAATGCAGTGCTGCCCAAAATCATTCTACTTCCACATAGGTTTTTAGATGCTAATGGGGATGAATACCCTGAAAATGCGGTTGAATAAGCCACACGTGTCCAAATTAAATGAATAACCACATAGATGTTCCGGACTTCATCAAAATGAGACTCCAGATTTGATTTTATTTTATTTTTTGACATGAAAACAAGGTAAACCCAGTGTATTGATTGAATGGAGGAGTTACAATAGACAGCTTACCGGTTAGTAACTGAGAAGGTGGAGGTGAGGGTACAACATCAAGTAACTGTTGTTACCATTCAAAGGTGAATCTTGAGTTCAATCCCTAGATTTTGTAAGCTTTATTGAACAACAATAATTTCCAAGCAGTTATAAATTGGTGAGTTGCTGAAGCAGTAACCCACCAGTACCTTCACTTACAAACAAAGATGTGTGCGACTGCTTGCAGATGAAGTCACCCAGGACTGAAACAATCATGCTAAAATGAACAAAAGCAGCCCATATTACCCCAATCCTTAGCAGCCATTAATTAGACTTACAGTCTGCTCAAATTAGAAGTCGGTTAGAGAGGTCTCTCACATGGGGCTATAGGGTAGTTGGGAAGTTGGAACTTTCATAGGTTCCCTGGACGCAGGCAATCAACCACTGTAGAGGGACCACAGCGTGTTGGGCTAAAGCCAGTTGAGCTTTGTGAGAACCGGAAAAATTGGCTGATGTGGAAGTGCTCGGATTGGAAAAATGCCAGCAAATGGGCAGACGGCCAGCATGGATGAATTAATACCCAGATTATGAACAAAATTGAAGGTGAGGGTATAGTTCAAATAGCATATTCCTAGCTCCCCTTGTTATGGAGCCAACCGCCCTGCCTGTAGCTGGAGCTACTTCCTTATAATAGTGTTTTCAACAACCTTTGTGTATGGGAGCAACACTAGACCAAACCACACTGAAACTTGGGCCATTGATTTCCTCTCCTTCAAAACGGGATTTAGTCACTCATTATATTTTCTCTGGGGGAGTTGCTCCTTTGAGCGTGAACAATTCCAAGTTTCAAAGGGTGTGATTTTGGTAAATTTATACTTAGATATGAAGGGATTTAAAGTGGGGCGTATTTTGATGGGTGGAAGAGTAATCAAACCTTAGCACAGGGAATTACTCCATACCACCCCTCATACTAGAGAATGACCTGGGTGATTTAAATGATAACTACTTGAAACTATTGAAGACATATATATATATATATATATATACAAAAAACTTGAAACTGTGTGAGATTACCCTTTGGTGTACATGATCCACCTTAATATGAACTTAATCCAACAGGAGAATTGGACTGTTCATCTTAGAGGGTATTTATCTCCAGGAGTGCAATTTCTATTTGAACAATTTTCATTAACGATTGCAAATTTTAGTGCATCCAAGATGTCAGCAAATTTGATGACCTGAACCATCTTTTGATGATTTTTTAAAATGAAATAAGTTGATCATTTATTTGTAGAATAACAATGGCTATGACAAATGTGATAAGAAATGCTAGACTTGAAACCTGTTAGTGCAATGGAATTATGTCATGTGCCAGATAGTTTAGTTGGGAGGGAAACAAAATATATGGGGACCTGAATTGTGAAGGTGGGGAGCATGTCATTGTACACATATCACTGTAATTTATACAACCAAAATTGTGGACTTCAAGTGATAAATTGGTGGTAAACACTTCTCATATATGCTGTATATATCACCCAAAAGTCATATCTCATCTATGTTTTCTTCTAAAATAAATACTACAAATAAAAACATCTTTTATTACAAACAGTTGAATTTTAAAAAATGAAACAAATCATATTTCACTCGATTTTTTTTCCTCCAAGGCTTTGTATCAAGCTTGGAAATGAAGAACACCTTCAAAAAAAGGCATTTTCTCATTGGGTTTATGTTCTCAGTGTATGGTTCTTCACTTGTATAGCACGCATGAGGTGTATTTGGAACCCATTCTGAATTTTGCAAATAACCAATATGAGTATCCACACTATTTCCTTGCCCATTATGATTTATTTGGACAGTTCATGCAATAAAGGAAGCTAATTGATGGGTACCACCACAAGGCACCCAATAAATGAGATCATGAGGTATTCCCTACTCGCATGGGTACTTTTGAGGTATTCAAAGCAGAATCGCCCTTTGAGTTGGATTAAAGCTCAAGAATGAGCAACCATTTGACAAGCTTCATGTCTTTTCCTTGCAATGAAGGAGTTCACCACCTCCTCCTCAGAAAGAAAGAAAATCATAACTCTTTGCAGGTGAAAAACAAATGATAAGAAGGAACCTTTCTTGCATGATACAATGTTATACCTTTTAGTGTTTCAGAGATTTGCTGGGCACGTTTTGCTTTTTCAACAATTGCTTCACAAAGGAAGCATAAAATAGAATAACCGTAGAATTTGAGATAAGGACTAGTAAGTTGGCAAAGCTGTTGATGAGGAGGTGGGGTAGGGATGTTTCTAGTAAATAATACCCACCTGTGACTGAGCTTTGGGGGAGTGCCAGGTTGGCATTGTCATGTGCAGTGCTGGAATAGAGGAACCACTGGTGGCCATTCACCTCTTGGGCTCCTTTCTTTAGGGGCCTCCATACAGTGTCTCTAAGCTTCACAAACCCATCGTTGGCTCCTGAATGTCAACGAACAACATGAAAACATATATAGCATTGAGATTTTTCAAAAATAAAATGTGATGCAACAATACAGATACAGAAATGCATACAACTAGAGAAGCAAAGGACCTTGGAGGTTTATGAACCATTGTTTTTTGAGAATGGTGAGAAAGTGGAGGTGAAGAGAAATAAACTTGGAACAGAATGAAGAGGCAATCAAGTCACAGAAGGCAATGGGAAATAAGTATTAGCTGTTCAAATCAAATGAGAGATGAGAGTTGGCACCTTTCAACTACAACTATATTGATTTAGATTGTGATTAACTTTTTTGCATCACGTATGTTTTTTGGAATTATATTCAATGTTTTTATAATTGCAAATCATGGTGTCTTCGAAAATCAAAAGAAAAAGAGTGGCTTTTAATACTTATATGATTTGAAACAAAAGAGTGTAGATTTTTGAAGAAATTTTTAATTATGTGTATTTTAAAAAGAGTGAAATTATAAAATATTGATAGTCTCTTAATGAAACTTGAGGTCAAATAGGACCTGAGCTTATTCCAATACATTAAATAGTGGTGAAGAAGGTCAAATGAAAGTTAAAAACAATATAAACCCTAAGTCGTATTTAAAATTGTGATATTGATACAAAAAAATTTATCATGAAAATTAGACATAAAAAATTTAATTAATGATAGTAGTGATGATTTGAAAATTTCAGTTGATAGAAAAATTCTAGTAATTTTGATTAAAAGCCTCATTATTTCAATTAAATTGTAAAATAAATAATTACTGAAGAAAATTGAAAAAATAAATTAGATCTTAAAAAATAAAAAACTTGCTAAAGAAATTTAACCAAAATCCCATAATTCTTTATTTCCAAGAACATTTTAAGTTAAATAAGTTAATTAAAAATTTATATATTATTTAATTTTATATCATATAGAAAATTCTTTATTTCTAATAAAGAATGAATACTTGGATTGAGAATGGCAGTCTATTGGAAAAGAAAAGAAAAACAAAACAAAACAAAAACTGCGTTAATTAGAATAGATATAAAGTCTGTAGACAGCAGGACAATCCTATTTTCGATTGAAATTAAAGTATCACTTATTCAATAATAGATTTCTATGGTAAACAATAAAAGATCATAGTTAGTTATTTGCACCAAATTTGCTTTTAAACATTCATTGTATGTTATATTATAACTTTACAATGTCAAATATTTTAGCTAATTTTAAATTTTCATATATATATATATATATATATATATATATATATTTAAGGTAATGGTGATTTCTCCTAATACACAAAAGAATACACTATAAAATAAATTTTGGCCTATATTTCTAAAGAGTTTAAAATTTTAAATCCAATTTATATCTATTATATATATAATATATAAGTTCTATAATAATATTTATATTAAAAAATAATTAAATTTTTATAATAAAAAATAATTTAATTTTTATTTTAAAAAATAATTTAATTTTTATTTTAAAAAATAATTCAATTTTTATAGAAAAATAATTTAATATTTATATTAATAAATTTAGAAATATAGTTAGTTTTTAAAATAATTATGGTTGATAGTTCTTAGATTATAAACTACCAAAAGTTTAATTAATACTTAATTTTTATTTTAAAGTTTTAAAATTTAATTAATTAATAAAATTAATTCATGGAACGTGTATGAATAATTTAGTAAAAAATTGATATGTTTAAAAAAGTTATATAACAAAAATATAATTTTAAAAATAAAATATTTCAATAAAAAATTATACAAAAATACTTTGAATAAAGTAAAAGATGAATGATTAGTATTTCAATAAATATTTATCAAGATTACTATTTTTAATATTAGATACAAATTTTTTTATAACTTCTACTAAATTAAATAATTAAAAAAATTAGAACTTATATTTCCAAATTATTGATATTTCTAAAGATAAAAATAATTAATATAAAATATCTTGATTTCTATATTTGAATTAATATTATTTTATAAATATAAATAAAATTATATATTAGTCTTATTACCTTAATTATTAGCTTAAATTTTATTCCAAAAAGTAAATTTGAGACAATTTTATAAATGATTATAATGTTTTTGGAAATAAAATTAAGTAGAAGCATGTTGAAGTATATTAGTCAGAAATACATTAGTCAGAAAATAAATTTACCAGAAAACATCTAATTAATTTTTTAAGTTAAAAAGATCTAAAGATATTCTTATATGTGTTCATTTGTTATATAAAATTTCTTATAGGAGTTTCTTATATATAAAAAATTATTACAAAATATCTTATAAATTAAATATTTAGTATGTAAGTCTTATTGCATCAATGATATGAATCACATGCAATTAACAAATTAATATATTCTTATATTATTAAAAAGAATAGATATTCACTCAAATATAGTACAATATTAAAACCAAAATGATTATTGCTGAAAGCAAAAAGATTAAAGATTCTTGAAATAAAACTAATAAAAAATATATATATTAATAAGAGTAAAGAAGACCTCACTTTTGCTTCCATATATACTATCTAACTAAGAGTTATGTGGCAAAATTCTATATGCCCTTAAATATATATCTAACTTGCAAGACAATTCTCTTATAAGCATCTATTCAGCTTCTAAGTAACTTCTCTATAGGTTATTATTAAATTTACATATTTTTACTTATTTCTATCTAGCTTCTCTTATCTAAATAAATACAACTATTAATTACGTCGATGAAATTATCTCTTTTTTTAAGGACAAGTTTCATCAAGAGTAGTGATCACATATTTGAAAAAGTCTAAGATACAACATGTTGTATTTATTACATACTTTGATCTTTATTCTCTTTGAATATAATTGATACATCTTTTCAGTAATCAATAATGCCTTATATCAAGTTAAAAAGACTACCTATTTATTTGATTATTATTTAAGCTTCATAACTTCTTTCAAATATATCATTTAAAATATCATCTATGATGGTTTTCATCTCTAATAATTTCACCAAACATTGAAAGTCTCTTTTAAAGTTGTAATATTAAACACATTATATTTCACCATCTATTTAAGAAAAAACATGTCATTTTAAAGAAATTTTATTCCTATTAAATCGTCTTAAAAGCTAAAACAATTTCAATGACTCATTTGATAATTCAACAAATTATAGCTCTAAGTTGAATCTCTTGATTATTTATTTTTTATTCTTTTAGCACCACAAATATATAAAATCTATAAACAAAAATAAAAGATAGAATACAATATCTATTGAATATTATTTTTTATAGTAATAATTTTTTGATGCTTTATCTTAATTTTGATAGATGTTGTTAATAAAAAATATCAACTTTTATTGTTTTATTTGCTATATTCTTAATTAGCTCTCATGAACATTCATTAATATCATATTTGCATCAATGTACAAGTTATTGTAACCTATTTTAATGCTTCTTTAAATCTAAGACTTTTTAAACCTCAAATTCTTAATTATTTTCTATTTCTATAGAAAGAGGTGGTATTTGTTTTCTTTTTGATATATCCATTATCTTATATAATTCAAAAAGAAACATTTATAACATAAGATAATTTTTTTATAGAATCTAGTAGGTGTAATCAATAATTAAGTATTTTGATTTGTTTACAAATAGAAAATGGTTTTAGTCTATTATAATCCAACTTGTTACAAATGCAATTAGTTTTGATGTTATGATGTAGAAATTATACCTTGTTGCTAATGTAGAATTGAGATTGTTCCTAGAAATAGACATCTACATTGATCTTTTGTTATTTTTGAATTTACTTTAATTATACTTTTATTACTATATATAGCCATAATAAATAATTTTTTAAATATTTTGTTATATGATTATTAATTCTTAAAAAATCAAAAGTCTCAAGATGTGGATAATAATTATGATTAATATAAAAAATATTTATTGAATAGAAGAATCCATCATATTATTATAAGAAAACTTTTCCAATGGCTAAAAATTAATCCAATCATCTTGATAGTAGTTGATAGTATATTTTAAATACTACTTCAAAACTTGATGCACTTTTTTTGCTTGTCAATCAATTTGAAGATAAAAAAAATTGAATGTAATTTTACATCCACCTTGAATATATATATATATATATATATATATATATAGATATATTTTTCTAAAACTATAATATAAATTGAATCTTTTTATTCAGTATAATATTCTTTAATAAGTTATTATAGCAATAAATATTTTCAAAAAAATATTTAGTTTTTTCTTCACATGTGATAGTTTTTGTACATAATACAAAATTTGCCATTTTAATAAAAAAAATCTATTATCACAAAGATATAATCATATGAACTTGAGATTAGAAGATCCATGATAAAATCTATAGAAGCAAAAGATTATGATTTTTTTTACTATAAGTAATAGTTAAAATTTATAAGCTCAATGACAAGGAGTATTTAATCTTAAAGAGACATTTAATGATTGTACAAAGTCTTTAATTGACTTTTGCATTTGAAGGTGCCAAAAATCTTTTGATATTAATTCCAAGGTCTTATTGTATTCAAAATGTCACTCAATTGGAAAATCGTAGTAAGCTTGAAAAAAAAGTAATTGCTTTATTTTCTAAAATATATTAATGTCTCTCAAAATAAAAAAGATTATAAGATATAAAAGAATTATTTATAATATTATAATATCAAGAGTATGAATAAAAATAAAAAGAATCTTAAAATATTCTTATATAAGTGAAGAAGAATAAATATTCATTCCAAAAGCAATATAGTATTAAGATTCGAATGGCTATTTTCAAAGACAAGAAGAATATAGACTCTTAAAACTAGACTAAGAATAAGAAAGGCATTGACAAGAATGAAGAAGGCTTCATTCTTACTTCTATATATACTATCTAACTAAGAGCTAAAAGGTAATATTCTATAAGACCTCCAA